GAAACACCAGCTCAGGGGAGACCTTTCTGTCTGTTTTGGCTCAGGGCTTTTGCTGCTGCTCTTGACATTTGCATGGCTGAGCAGATGGCCCTGCATGGGGCCACAGCCCTCTCCTGTTTCAGCAGAGCTGGAATGGTAAGCCCAGCCACACTTCTTCTATCAGCCCTCAAAGAGCTTGATCAGCCTCACTGTTGATCCAAAGTGCTGATAAGAAATGGGTGCTTAATTTCCCACAGAAAAAACAAACCAAAACAACCCCTTCCATTTCTTCTGCATGCATAAAACTGGGTATGCCTTGGATTTTCAACATTACATAGTAGTCAACRTGTTTATATCTCATGCTGTGGTACTTTTGATGAATTTATTGAARTAGGGATCTCTCTGCACATTGGTGTCACCTATGCAGTGAGCATAAGGGCGTTGTGCACTCACTCTGTGCCAAGGGATCGCTTCATAGCTGTGCTGGATTAGTGCTTCAACCCCTTTACTCAGCTGTTCTTTACGGGGTTCTSTGCTTTCTGTTGACATCAAATGGCTGATTGTCAGTTTGGGTAATGAGGGGAGGTATTAAAGTTGTAGAATGTGCTCAGGAGTGGGGTCAGGTGGCAGTGGAGGAGCAGCTCAGCCTCACCAAGAGAACAGAGCAGCACAGAAGGAAAAGCATGGGCAGGAAGATTTGTTAGTACCGGGTTAGTGTTGAGTACTGCTTAAACCCAGCTGTGGCTGGCGTGTGTTCACTGAGACACCTGACTGCTGCATTGTGAATCCAGCAGACTGAGTATAGCRTTGCAAACTGGCCTCAGAGCTGAAGGCATCTCCACCTGTGAAGGTTTTTCAGTGACTATTTCTGTTTACTTGGCCTTCACCAGGCCCCCCGTTCTGAAGCTCACACCATCCTTGGCGCTCTTGTGTGCTTTCCAAATACCTACCAAGGAATTTCACGGCTGGGACCCATTTCRGAAGCCAGTGAGAGCATCACAGGAACTGCAGATGTGAAGGTAARGCCACATTTACTGTAAATCCTTGGGTACCTAACCTGGTTTTAATATGCAGTGACTTCATTCCTGCCCAAATGGTTGCCCTCACACAAGCCCCTCTGTTGCTTTTGATAAATTTGAGGCACCACAGTGAGTGAYTGCTAAAAACTGTGGGCAGCTGGGGAGGAATCTCTGAATTCCTCAGGTGGCCTGAGCAGGAAGAACCAAAGAGGATACAGAGAGCCCTTCACAAGCTTGGCTCCTGTTCTTGCTTTCTTCACCAGGCCTCAGAGTCACTGGAGGTGTCTTAAAACTGTCTTAATTTTAGAAGTGTCTTTTCTGTACTAAGAAATCCACCAAATTTTTCATAACTTGGCTTGGTTGGAACCTTACAGTCTGTATGACTTGTTTGTAAATACACCTTGACWCTGTAAATTAATTTAATTCCTCTTGCTGCCTGTACCTGAGTTATAAGTTGATTCAATCTGTCCACAAGCGCCTGTATATTTAAGTTGTAATCAGTGTTTCTACCTTGATAAAATACAACTGGCATGAGGTAAAGATGCTTTAATAACAGACTGAGAATTAAAGTTACTTTGCTTGTAATTATATCAAAGGAGATGTATGAAAAAGATGCTTATTCTAATTTATTTTCTTATTTTAGTATTGYCTCATAAATATTTTATTGAAGAATGCTACAGAGGAGCCAAGTGAAACTGCAAGGTAAAATAGTGAGTAAAAGAAATGGGAAAATCATAGAATTGGTTAGGTTGGAAAAGATCTTTAAAATTATCAAGTCCAACCATTTACGGCTTGGGAAAGTTTTTCTTGCTGCATACTTTCTGCTGTTGCCTTGTGGTTTGGTTGTGTGAAGTTGAGCCTTACTCTGCACCCACAAAAGTGCTGGCCTGTCATGTTGGAGGGGAAAGAGAGATCTCATCTTTGTGCATTTTTTTTCTTTTCTTTTTTTTTCACTAAATACTCCTAAAACTTCTGACAAGCTTCCTTTTGCTTTTAACACAGATGCATAGCCATCTGCGGCCTCGGAGTGTGGATATGTGAGGAGCTCACACAGGGCACCAACCACCCCCACGTGAAGAAAGCCATCAATGTCATAGGTGTGACACTGAAGGTATTGCTGTGGCGGGCACTAATCAATGTGCATTGGGAAAAAAAGGCATTTTCACTTTTCAAATAGTCACTGATGATCTGCTGCTGTAGTATCCTATGTAAATATGCAGAATACTTGCAAAARTAACCTCTGTGCTTATAGACTCTATGCCCAGAAAACTGAGTTAAGATCACATAGACAGTGTCAAACCTGCTGGTTCCTAATGCTGACAATGTGATTTCACAGCACTAACATTTCTTATTGTTTACAAAGATGCAAAAGAAYTTATAATGTAGAAATACTGAATGCATTGTATTGTGTCTGGCTTTTAATCACCTTTTTTCTTCCAGTTGTCCAACAAGCTGGTAGCTCAGGTAGCCTGTGATGTCCTTCAGCTACTGGTGTCTTACTGGCAGAAGCTTCAGGAGTACGAACCCTCCCTGTGCCGGAAAATTACTGAAGTAMGTCAGATTTGTTAAAACGCTTATGTGGAAAGCTTGTGCAAAGTTGTCTTAATTCCTTCCTTGGGCTGYTGTGATTTTGTTTGCTCCTCCTTTTTTTAATTGTTAGGGATGTACTTGCTACAGTTCCCAGGACCAGTGTAGGTCCTTGGTTGGTAGCGACTTGTTTGCGAAATGCTCAGTAAAACATTTTCTTTCACTTGGATGTGAATTGGTTCAGACAGCTGGATGCTCCTAGGAGAACTTAACCTATTTCACGCCCTGTGAAGTGAAGGTCTGTCTCTGTAGTAGAAGAAACTGAATGCCTTTCTGACACTTTCTTTGTTTGGGTRTAGATCCTTGTGGCCACCATTGCATTTCTCCTGCCAAGTGCTGAATACTCTTCCGTGGAAGCAGATAAGAAGGTGTGTTGCTGAAAAGAGCTGTCTCCATTCTTTGTGCTGTTTGAGGGGGGTGTTAAATGAGGTTGCTCTGAACCAGGGTTGAATTTTAAACTCTCAGACTCATACCTTTAAGTCTGGGTGAATTTAATAGAATGTACGTAAATACTGTGTTCCATGTTCTTGTTCAGTTTATAGTTTCACTGCTGCTTTGCTTGCTGGACTGGTGCATGGCACTGCCCATGAAGGTGCTGCTGGAGCCTTTGTCTGCTGGTGCTGTGGAGGATCATCAACATGCATCCAGAGCTCCCTTGCTGGATTATATTTACAGAGTGAGTATGAGGAAGTAACATAATTTACTGTGCCTGGTTATTTAAAGATGTTTTTCACACACGCTGAAGGCACAGAAGCAGCTTTGTCAAGCTCTAGAACATCATGTCATATGGGTGAGGAGTCACAAATGCAAAATGTTAAGGTAAGATTAGAGATGCAGAACAGACAGGGGATGGTGAAGAGAAAGGTAAAAAGCTTAAAACAATGATCCAGGGAATCTTTGCAGAAATATTTGGGTTATTTCAAGTGGGCTGATAAAATACGAAACAAGCCCTGAAGCAATCTCTTAAAGTACAGAATCAGTCCAGATGAAGACTGTTAATTTAGAAATGCTGTATTTGGACACAGATGGATTTTGTAGTGTGTCCTGGCTTTCCTAATGTCCARCTGGGGGGCCCTGCTCGCTGGATGTGTTGGGGACTGTCCTGGGTTTGTCACTGGCTCAGTGTCCCCGCAGGTCCTGCACTGCTGCGTCAATGGCTCCAGCACCTACACGCAGCAAAGCCACTATGTGCTGAGCTTGGCCGACCTCTCCTCCTGTGACTATGACCCCTTTCTGCCACTGGGGAACGTCAGGAGCTCGGAGCCAGCCCAATGCCCCTCCTCTACCGATTTGGGCAATCTGCTCACTGTTGCTGAAGGTAAGGAAGTTCCCAGAGCRTGTGCTGGGCCAGCATATTTGTGCAGCAGCTGGGAAATAGTGTTCTAGGTAACATCTCTGCCTTGAAAACATGCTTCTCCTCACTGCATGTAGCAACTATTCCTAAAACTTGGACCGAGCTTTTTCTGGATAAATTCCAGTTGCCTCTGTGATAGGATGTTTGAGTTCGTTGCCAGTGCTGCTCCTTAAAACAAATTTACATTTAGAAGATGTTAATACCAGGGAAAGAGAAATACTGTAAACTAAAGAAAAATTATTTAAAACTCAGTATGAAAAAACTGTAGAAATTAGGAGGTCTCTGGCAATAAGAGGAGTAATATTCTTATTGGAGAAGTGGAGGCACAGTGTAGCTCAGAGCATGGTCACTTTATGAAATAACTGATGTCTGTGCCTGTGCTGAAGGGAGCATCTGAACATCTGGGAAGTCTCTCCCTGCCTCACACAATACTTCCCCACCTGCCAGGGATGGAGGAGCATTGCCTCACGGTGACTTCTCTGGTTTACTTTGGTTTTTGTGCCATGTCACCCTCCTGCTCTGATGGCTGTGGCGATGTGGTGAAATAAAATAAAACTGTGGGACAGGTAGGATTTCTAGGAAAACTGTTGGAAATAGTTCCTTGAACAGGATGGATCGGGAGATTGAATAAGGCAAGTGCAGTGTGACAGAAATCTGCAGGTGCTCCTTCTGTATTGCCTCTTGCTGCTCTTACTGATCCATTTTGTTTTCATTGATTGTTTTAGAGAAGAGGAGGAGAAATTTGGAACTGATCCCTCTAACAGCAAGGATGGTTATGACTCATCTGGTGAATCACCTGAGCCACTACCCRCTCAGTGGAGGCCCTGCCATCCTCCACAGTCTCCTTAGCGAGAACCATGACAACTCCTACGTGGAGTCCTCTGAGCTGTCCTCRGAAGTGTTCCGGAGCCCCAACCTGCAGCTGTTTGTGTTTAATGACAGCACTCTCATATCTTACCTCCAAATCCCTGCAGAGAGGAAGGCGGGCATTGAGCCAGCAGCGGCCCCCTCGGACGTGCGGGTGATTGTCAGGGATATCTCAGGGAAGTACTCTTGGGATGGCCGGATACTGTATGGGCCTCTGGAGGGCTGCCTTCCGCAGCGCAGTACGGCCAGCGCCTTTGTCATCTCCAGCGRTCCGGACCAGCACTTCTCCCAGAACGACATATCTCAGGTGGAGGAAGGAGAAGATGCTCTGGACCAGCTGCTGGAGAGGATTGGGAACACCAGCCCCGAGTGCCTTCTGCACCCCCAGCGCAAGCTGAATGAGCCGTCACCGCCGCCCTGCGGCATGAGCCCCGAGCAGGAGCGTGCCATCACCGAGGCTCTGATGAGGCAGAGTGCCCAGGAAAGAGAGTTCATTCTGAATTGCAGCTCGGACTGCAGCATGAGGGTGGCCCGCCAGGAGCCACCACGTCCTGCTGAACCTCAAGCCTCCTTTTATTTCTGTCGGCTGCTGCTGAATGACTTGGGAATGAACTCCTGGGATAGAAGGTAGGAAGAGAGGATTCCCAGAACGTGCTTAGGGTACTCTTCTCACTTTCTACCCCCAAATGTGTTCACACTTAAGAGAACGAGGATTGTGTAACTGGGAGTTAGAGCAGTCTTGAATGTCAGTTTATTTGAAATCGACATCGATAGATTGTGTTTAACAATAATTTTAAGAAATCCTATCATGCTAATTCTCTTTGGTATTTGAATGACAAAATACTGCCTGCACTGTGTTGCATTTGCCTTCAAACCTTTTTAAATTTATTTTTAGAAAAAGCTTTCATCTGCTTAAGAAAAATTCAAAATTGCTGCGAGAACTGAAAAACCTGGATTCCCGCCAATGGTAGGTGATGTGTACTGAACACATCATTGATAAGGATTGTGTTTCCCAAGGAAGAATAGGTCCCCAGAACCAAAGCTGCATTACCATTGAATCCAAATATTGGTATGRAAATTGGACTGTTTGTTTCTCCAGAGTTCTGTAGCCTGAATGGAGAATCAGACTGCCCTGGCACATTTCTGTGTACAGAGAATTCCAAATCAGTGTCAGATAATAAGACAGWTTTTTTTCAAGTTTGCTTTAACTGATAGGGGAGGGGACCAAATTGTTTGTGACCTGAGTTTAGCTGATACCAAAAAAAAACTTTCTACAGGCTGATCCCTGTGTCAGGAGTAGTACTTTGGGGGGTAATCTGCCCAWAACTACTCCCCAGGCAGGAAGTGGCAGAATGGAATTCTGGATATGATGTTTTGTATTTCATTACTTGATGTTGAAAAACATCTGCAGCATTGCAGAGTTCTGAGTTTCTTCTATCCCAACAATTTCCATATCAAATGCACTTTGCTTCTTTTCAAAGAAGCCAACTGTCCCTATCACCATTGTAAAACTCAGCCCAGGGTCTACAAGTCAGTAACGTTTCTTCTGTCTTGTATGTCATCACCCTGAAATTAAAATTCTGTAGGTCAAATTATGCTCCCATTAACACCTGTGCCACCTCACGGTCTGTGCACTGCTGCACAGATCTGAGTCATTAACCCAGTAATTGGAATCTGGTCACCAGCTCTGTGGCTGATGCGCAGAAGGACCAGGCTTGACTGTGCTCTTTGAACTGGGGTGCATCTGCAGTGAGGTTTTGGTGGCAAAAAACTGGGGGAAAATCTGAAAGTGAGTGATGTATTTGCTTGCATAAAGGAAATGGACATATGGAATTATGAGCTGAAACTTTAACTTTGATTTCTTTTTCTGTCCCATGGCAGTCGTGAAACTCACAAGATTGCCGTGTTCTACATCGCTGAGGGACAGGAGGACAAGTGTTCCATCCTGGCTAATGCAAGGGGAAGCCAGGCATATGAAGATTTTGTGGCTGGACTGGGCTGGGAGGTAACAGCCATGAATTTAAACAAGCTAACATATTGCTGGTGGCTCTGCATAGTTTTTAATTCACAAAAAAGAAAATTTCACTACACACTAATGCTTAGCTGCTTTTAGCTTCGCTGTGGTCAGAGCACACACTCAGCACAGGAGTTCTTTATGAGATGTGTGGGTTTAATTTGCTTYGTCAAAACGGTGTGTCATAATCTAAAGGCCATGAACATTTTTTGGGTTTGSGGAATAGAGTATCTGCATGTCACATTTAAGGATTGAAGTGCCACAGGGAGATACAGCATCCTCAGGCTGCTGCTGTTGGGAAAACAAACAAGCCTTTGGACTCAGGCTTGACTTCAGAGAGATGTTTCTTTTGATAAAATTTCTTGAATAATTTCATCTCAGGTGGTTTTATTCTGTACAAATCCAGTTTCTTCTGAAGTTTTTTTGTTATTTTTGTTTCTCACTGCCTTTTGTGATGCTGCTGGCAGTGGGAGCTTTAATCCCCACAGAGCCCTTAGAGCAGCAGCATGTGGCAGAATGCTGTTGTTTCCTTGCTGCTGTTGTTTGCTGGAGGAAGGTAAAATTGCTGGATAGATAATGACTCAGGACCTAGTTAAGAGAGATTCACTTTTATTAAATGTCAAATACATACACTGGAGAGACAAATTTAATTGAAAGATTGCAAAACTGTAGGGGAAGACTTCTTTTTCTCTGGGATGGCTGCAGAATCCTAGGTTGATGCTTTCATCAGTCTTGATACAGAAATAAATACTGATCATTCATAAGTCTTTTCAGATTGCTGCTATTTCAGCCCTTGCCTTTCTCAGGTTGACCTTTCCACACACGGCGGATTCATGGGTGGCCTGCAGCGCAATGGCAGCACGGGGCAAACTGCACCTTACTAYGCTACCTCCACCGTGGAGATCATCTACCACGTGTCCACTAGGATGCCCTCGGACTCGGACGACTCACTGACCAAAAAGGTAAAGCATTTGCAGCGTATTTCACACCGTTGTAATCATGCAGTGCTTCAATGAAAACTTGAACTGAAAGCAGCTTGTGCTGACTGGCCCTGGCAAGCTGTCCCTGCTGTGCCACGTGGTGCTCTGCAGCTGGGTTAGCTGAATTAAATGGCATCTAAATTCTGGGTTCTGAAACACAATTAACATTTCCATGGTAGCCTCAAATGCCACCATGAGTAATAATATTAGCAATAATTTCATTTGTATGTTCTCTGCTTGCCAAAAGTGCTGTAGTTTGGTGGAACAAAACAACCAAATGCAGCATCATAAAAGCTTCCAGACGACTCATCCTGTGTGGAACAGCAAAGCGAAAGGGAGGTGACAGGCTCAGGAACCCAAGCAGCCAGCTGAGACTTTAAGCCAGTAGCCAGTTAGGTACAATTCTGACAAGCAGCCTCTGCTTCAAAGATGACCAGAACCCAGCCCAAAATTCTGTTGGTCTCAGTACTTAATAATTTGTCTTTCCTAACAAGGAGCGATTTGAGATTTTGCTGTTTGCCAGATGCTGCTTAGAGTCAAACAAGATTTTTGGGGCATACCAGATCTCTGCTTTTTAATTAGGATTGGCAACTTGTCCTGCAGAGGTTGTTAGTATGTATCAATAATGCTGCTGCAGCTATCCAGTCCACCATGGAATACTGCAATGCTCTGAAAATTGTCTGTAACTTGGTGACTGTATTTGGTGTCCAGTTGGTTTCAGAATGGCATGTGCTTTTCCTTGGAATATAAAGGCAGAATTTCTGATTACTGTTTCTGAAAAATTGCCCAGCATTTCATACTAAAGTCAGATCTTGTCTTTTTTACTGTGCTACCTATCATTAAAAAAAAAAAGAAAAGTCAGCAAAATGACACGTTTCTCCTACCATAACTCATACATGGCTATAAGAAAAAGTACTCTGAGTGCTTCAAGGTGTGGAGCAGTAGGGCAGTGATGTGTAGGACAGAGCTGTAGAGTCTCTGTGACCTTAGGAGGGTAGCACTGTATTTTTATTGTTCTTGACCAGAATTTGTCCAGCTGCTAGATCAAAACTCCAGTGATGAATGATTTACATTCTCCCTAGGCAACMTATTTCTATGCTTCACTTCTTGTACATGAAAAAAATCTCTTGTAGTGTGTACTTTGCTTCAATTGAAGCCCATTGATTCTTACCCTATTCCACATGGACATGGAGGACAGGTTGTTTTGCAGCAGARTTATACATGTCTGAGAACTGCTGCCTTGTCTTTCCTAGACTTACTTTTCATACACAAAACTGTGGCCATTTATTGAGTCTAATCCTGCCTTGTAGGTTCTGGCTCCTGGGTTTTGTGGAAGCCTAGCAAAGACATTGGGATATAGTCTGGCTGTTGAGTAATTCATCACCTGGGAGAGGAGAGCACAATGTGACAGAGCTACCATAAGGGGAAAATGGGGTTTAACTSCAAGCAGCCTACTTACCCTCCTAAAAGCCACCCATGTTAGGGGTTATCACAGACACTGAGTTATTCTATTTGAGTTCCCTATGTTTGCTTTAAGAGAATTCCTTCTCTGTGAGAAACAGAAACCAAAAGCATTTAGTAGCTGTCAGTCTCCAAGTTTTGTAGTGCCAGGAAACCAGGCCAGCTCCAGGACATGCTGTCTGGAAAATACTGCAAAGAAATTGTTTTGGGATGTTTTGAAAAAAACCTGAGACCTGTTATAAGAATGAAACCTTGCAGGGATCAAGCTGACTTTTCCAGTAAAGGGCAAAGCTCTGRGCAAGCTCATGGACCTCAGGAGCTGCAAGCAGTGGCTCAGACCAGATAACTTCCAGAGGGATTTTTAATGTGAACTCATCCATGGTTCCACACACAACAGTTTCATTCAGTTTGTCACAGCTCTGTTGTGAGCAAACATGCAATTCTGTGCACATTAGCATGGATTGTCAACAGATGTTACAGAAYTGCAGTTATGAGTGGAGAAAAGGTCCATTTCAGAGGCACTGCACTTTCTGGAAGGTGGATGATTCTCTGGGCTTACATCCTTACCTCAGATTATGAGGGCAGAATGTCCAGGTTAAAAAGATAATTTTATATTTATTACTTCTTGCCATTAGTGCTTTCTTTTCATGGGAGTGTGGAAGAGAAGGACAGATTCCTGCTCCTTCAGTAGAACTGTATCTGGTGATGCAGGACAGAGAATATTGGGAGRAGAAAACTTTACTAGGATGCAGTGGAGGCCACAACTTTTTTCTTGCCCTCCCTCTGGGTCCTAAGGTCCCCCTTATCTCTGAAATCTCTGTGAGTGCTGTGGTTTCTTCTCTGCTTATTTTGCCTCAGATTAAGAAAGGCTTCATCCATGCCAGCATGCTCTGAGCTGAACAGAAGGACTGACCACCTGCTGGCCTGGGGAGCCGTAGCAAGGCCATAAATTCTGGGGGCTGGGGAATTCAGCAGATGCAGTAATTTTACTTAAATATGTTATTGTGGTTCTTTATTTTTACTGAACACAAGGATAAATTAAGTTCTGATATGAATTCCCAAGAATTAAGTGCATTTACTGTGGGGATGAGCTTGGCCCCTTGTTTCTGTGCAGTCACTTGCAGTTTGCATTTTTTTATTTGAGGTTTATGCTGACATTATATTGCTAATTCAGAAAGAAAAAAGTAAGAAAAACAAAAAAGAAAAGCCTCTTTCCAAATAAGTCTTGGTCCTGACAAAAATCTTTTCTGGGGAAGTAAACAAAATTCAGCTGATCTCTATTGCTGCTGTAGGGTTCAGCATCATTGGWTCCAAACTTTATCTGCCTTGTGGCAAGAGTGAAAATCAATCCCAGGAATGGCATCCTACCGTCCCTGTCTTGTTCTGCTCAAATTGTGCTTARCGGTTTAAAGATGTGCTGCCAAATTTCTTAGTGATTTATTCCATCTTCTCCATTGTCAGAGCAGAACTTTTTCAATTCAGAAATCTGGTAGCAACCCCATACTGAACTCTTGCTCCTTTGCTGCAGAAATTTGTTAGCTGGGGCTAGATTAGATTTTTAGCAGCTAATCTGACTGCTGTAGAGGTTTGCAGAGTGGGGACAGAGCTGTGCTATTGGATTTGTCCAATTCATTTGACTCCAGGACTATAATTGCACTTATGTCTTGCAAGGCTTTTATGGCCTCGGGCTGGCGAGCAGCAGAAAAACAAATTGGCAGTGATACAGTGAGAGTGAAAGGGAATGAAAGGCACACATTATCAGTCTCCAGGCAGCCCTGCTCTGGCAGGAAGTTTCTTGGTTAATTTACAAATAAAACTTAGATTTTAGGATGGGCACACAGTCAGTCAGACAATGGGGATGTCAGGCCCCACTGTTACTTAGCACAAGTAGCAGCCATGCCTCCCCAAAAGCAGGAATTCTTCAGTCAAACAGACGACTCCTCTCTGGAGCCAGCTGGCTGTGTAATGCAATTAGCAGGGAAAGGAGGTCATGCCGGAGGTGTGCACCGTGACCAGTGTCAGCACTGCCTGCTGGCTGTGGGCACCGGAGCGCTCTGGGGTTGGAGCTGCCTGCTTGGGGCTGGGGAACACAGCACTGGAGAGGGACAGCGGGACTGACCCCATAGCATGGAGCTGGGGCTGTGTCTGAGCCCCCCTGTTAGTCAAACTGGGGCTAATTCCTGTGCCTGCTGAAAATTCCTCTGTGCCCAGGGAGGACAYGCTGCCATTGCCAGAACTGCCTTCTCTCAGTGTTTGCAGAACCATCATTCCAGACTGTTGTTGGGGTTTGCTTTTAATACCAATCTGATTTCACGGCTGCTTTGGGATTTTTTWAACGTAGCTTTTTTCTTTATCCTCCCCCCCTAAACTGGATGTAGAGCACAGCCTGGAGCTCTGGCTCCACACACGTTTGCTGTGGGGCTTTGAACATTTCAGCACAACTTACTGGGAGTCCTTTAGGGCACTGAGTCTGCCCCACAGCTGCTGTTTTGAATAAACAACACAGGAAAACAGCAGCTGGCTTATTGTCACTGATGAGATTATTATAACGGCTTTTTATCAATGAAGTTATCTTTCAGTAACAAATATTTTTGATTAATGCAAATTTTTTCTTTGCAACATTATACCKTGTAACTGTGCTGCTTAAGGATGTGTGAGTTTGAAATGAGGGCAGTAACTCAAGCTCTAAAACAAGTCACTGGCACACACTGGGGATCATGGTAGAGTTAGGGATTCATGAGCACAGCAAGTGTTGGTTTAGCTAAGTTCCCTGCTTCACTGAATTTTGTTCTCAAGGGTGCRATATCAGTACAAAGTGTTTGATTATTATCAGAACAGATCCTTGGGATTTCAGAAAGTGTCCCTCAAGCAGTATTTGGGCATATTTTGATGACTGTTTTTATAGCAGTAGGTGCTATTTCTCATCTCAAAAGCCATAGGAGGCAAGGCAGTGTACACACCCTCTTCTTCAGAAGAGCTGGGATGGGTTTGAGAATTGCCCTCTGCRACTGGGCAGTGGCACTGCCTTATGGAATTCCAAGTCCACGTTTATTTGTGGACAAACCCAGCACAGGCTGCTAGGTGCCAMCATTGTGGGCTCTCTGTGCTGGGAAACTAGTGCCAGAACCTGCGCTGGCACCAGAATAGTTAGGGCTCAGCCTGGCAAATAAAGTGGGCACTTAAAATCCCTGGCGGGAGTTCCCTGAGCTCAGCTGGGCTGAGCTGGGCTCTTTCTGGAGTGGGATAGCCTGGCCAGGCACCCTCAGCATCTGGGACCTGCTGTGCACAAAGTCTGCTCACCAGATGGATTTTAGGGGTTTTTAAGACTAAACTTGACATCTTGCTTCTAATCACTTTGGAGGTGACCTGGCTGCACCTGGTCACAGAGAGTGAGATCAGGATTTTGTCCTGATTTTTGTCCTATATGTAAATTTCTGCTTCTTTTGGTACGTATCTGTCTGTGGTATTACCAACATGAGTGTTTTCTTGTGTGTACTTTGTTTGTAGTGACATACTGCACAGCTATCAAGGTGACCACAAGAACAGCAATTTCTACTTGTTTTATACATACAAGAAGCACTAGTGATAGTATTGTTCATGTTTCCTTGTTTCTTCAAGACAGAAATGGTTCATCTTTTTTTCAAACAGAGCTAAAATTACCTTTTATTCATGGGTGTAAATAAAACACAATTATTATCTTCTGTTTAATTTAAAATAAATGGAGAATCTCAGTCCTTCCGTGAACTGAGTTTTACTTAATTCTTCTGGAATATGAACTGTAAGCCAAGCTCACAGTKGTAATCTTTTTTGATTTTTCATGTGTTGGTTTTGCCATGTTTCTCTCACAACTGAGGGGTCCAGTTTGTCACCAATATGTAGGAGTGAAAGTTTTTCCTTCTAAATATGCTGCCTGATTCTGAATATGGAAGTTTTATCGGCACAGTGTGGGCTGGTCCAAAGCGTGTTGCAGTTAGTTGTTATTTACCAGTGAAAATCCCCACCTTCCTTTCCCTTTTTTCTCTCCCCCCACACAGAGTGAAGTAGCAGAGCTTCGTTTTGGCTCCTTTGTTCGGTCTATTGTGCACATTGTTCCAGGGGTAGCACCAAATTGGAGGGTGGGGGGTGTCTTTTAAGCTTTAAGTGGGACTTAAATTCTCTTTATGCTTTGAGCTGGCATTCTGCATGTGGATTACATTTTAACTTTAAAGCTTACAGTTGAAACCATTGTRCGAGGCTTGTACGTGATTGCCAAATAGTTTTTGCCATCTGTTAGATCACCTCCAGCTCCTCCAGTAGCAGAGCAAACACACTCACAGGCTCGCGGATGCTTTCAGCATATGCCGTGTTTAAATTTTATCTATATTTTATGCAACTCTGCTCCAAATGAAGAAGTGTAACTCCCACAGTATTTCCCATTCTTCTCTACTTCACATTGCCCAGATATTTTGCTGATGTTTTCATGTTTCAAGCAGGAGCCCCCTCCAGACACAGTCAGCAAGGAGATGTTTGTGGATAATAAATTCAGTTATAGTGGTTCATGACAGGCAGTTTCTTGATAGTCTGAGTCAAGGTATTTCATATTTCTGTGACAGCTGCCTTATTTTAGCTGGAATATGATGCTCTGTTGGTTAATGCTTTGTTCTAGTAATTCAGTTTTCCATCTTAAATCACTGTAGGTAAAGTACATTTACATATCATGCTAATGGCTAGTTTGATAATGACTTAATTAAGCCATCAGACAACAATGAGTTCTAAATGAAGCAAATTATTGAGCTGCTGCTTTCATGAGCAACTGGAGAAAAACAATATTTTAACTTTTTCTGTAATGAAATATTCCTGCTATCGAGCATTGTAACTCAATTTGTGAGCCATGACCCCTCCTAAAGCGTGGTTATCACTCGGATTAATAAAGAGCCAATTTGTGTTGCAGCTCCGTCACTTGGGAAATGATGAGGTTCACATCGTGTGGTCTGAGCACACCCGCAACTACCGCAGGGGCATCATCCCCACTGACTTCGGGGACGTCCTCATCGTCATCTACCCCATGAAGAATCACATGTTCTTCATAGAGATCATGAAGAAACCCGAGGTATGTTTTGGGTACTTTGTTGGGTCTGTTGTGTTGTGCAAGTGAGTAGCAGTTCTGTTGCTTAAATAAAGCTCAGTGATTTAGAGTCTGGGGGTTATTTTTTCCCTAGCCAATACAAAATCAGTTTGTCAATCTCAGGTGAWGGATAAACTGAGCAGTGAGCTTACTTTAAACCTAGAATTACTGATGGTGATCAAAGTGAGTCATCATTCATTTTATATCCATACTTAGCACTTAGAGAAATATTTGAGAATTCTCAACCCACAGAAGTTACTGGGCAAAGAACAGTATTTAAACCATTGTGAAATTCCTCTGTGGCACTGAAAGCAAACCAGTCATGATTTCAGTTCCTCTCGTGGTGTTGGATCACCCTCTATGCGAGGTCACTGCTGTACACACGGTACCATGAAGAAGCTCACACTTCTGTGGAACTGTCACTGTCACCTGACTTGGTGGGATGATGTAGGCATTGGACATCCTGTCATCAAGCAAACTATGGGCGATTCACAGCTGAGATCTTTTTTGGAAAAAATGCATTTTTTTGCAAAATGTCAGAGGTGTGTGTGTACATCTGTGCATGCGTATGAAAAAGCYACTTCAGTAAATGTTTGTCTGGTACATTATGGATTCAGAAATATGTGTAAAATATACTTTGTGAACATAATCAGTGTGAAAATACCATTTGGTTTATATGAGGGACAATATTTGTCCCAAGGAGTAAAATTGGCTGTGGTAAATGCCTCCATCATATCCCATATTTACCAGCTGTAGACAATATTTTTTGAGTTGTGAATGATGGGCTGTTAGATATTGACAACCAGTGGTTTGTCARTAGATATCTCAGACTTGAAAATTTTCTGATAGTGGGTTGGTTTCGTAGTTTGTTTTTTTACTCCTGGTGCAGAGCTCTGCAATTTACTTTTTGAGCTTTTAATGTTCCATCAGGGAAATGAGAATTTAGCATTAGCAACACGCTTGAGACTTCTCTGGAGCAGTGGAGAAAAGCTGTGTCATGTTACATATTAGTCAAAACTACCCGACGGGCAGCCAGAATAAGAGCTAACTGGAAATTTAGTGTTATCCCTACATTTAAAGTACAAACCATTACAATGTAATAAAATTAATCCAGACATTTCCAGGGCAAGTGTGGCTGACCTTTTGTTCACCAGCTACTGACCCCAGGGTGAATGAAAGAGGCTTGCAGAGAGAAATGTCTGTTGTTTGGCTTCAGTCCCTGGTATTTAAATTGCATTCCCTAATCGAATGAAAAGGCTGTCCTCTCTATCAGGTTACAGAATCCATGGCAACATTTGGCCTTTTATATCCATAATGTTAGCCTTTTTGTTTGCAGCCAAGTAGAGACACCTGGAGCAATGTTAACATTAACCGCTTTAGCATTAATAGCTTCATTATAGAAGAATTTCTGATCAGATAGCTGTTACTTTTGTTATGTTGCTTCAGCTTGTATTGTTTTCATTTTTGATCTCCCTGCTTGGCAACCGGGCAATGATTTGCAAATTTTTTTTGTCTTGATTAATTAAGCAATATAATTATCAGGAACCGTGCTGCAGTCTTTGCCCRACAAAGCTTCGGAGGGAAGACAATAGTAAGTCTGTTAGTGTGAATGCATTCCACGCGTCACAGATGCACGAGGATATTGGGAACAATGAGAGGAAAAGCTGCCTGTGAGAGGGGACAAAGCATGCCAGGCAGGCTCCGCACTGCACATACCGCCAGGGACATGCTGCGGGTTCCCTGGGACACAGATGCCTCGTTAGATTGCAGCTCGTCATCAGAGATTAATTCTCAGCCATTTGGTACAATAATTTACCCATTCCCCACTCTTTTAACTAGTGCTGCTTGCTGTCTTTGTGCTTGGAAGGTTTATTTAACCTTGCCTACTTTTACTGCAGGCAACAGAAATAATGATTTTTCTGTTGGAAATTGGAACGAAGCAGGTGTTTGCAGTGGGCTGAATATTAATTTTTGCTTCATGGATAACTTGCAATGACATTTGGAGTAGTCGCAGAAGGGGATCGTTCCCTCCATTTTTTTTTTCAATTGATTCCTGTCAAAGCAGACTGTTTTTTGTAGCCATCAAAGMCCTGTTTTCCTGGGTTGGGTGTTCAGTGCTGGGTTCAGAGCGGAGCCAAGAAGGGAACGCACCCTCTGCGTTCCGCTGGCCTCCCCGCCCCCCGGACCCTCGTTAGGGCAGAGCCCCTGTGCAGATGGAAGCTGACGAGATGCAGCTCCATTGACTTTAATGACCCTCGGCGAGGCCGCTGGATCTGCTCGGGAATGAATAATTCCGAGCTTTGTGTCCGCGCGGTCCGGCTGTGCGGCGCTCGGATCGTGGCGGGCTCTGGAGCCCTCAGCTCCACCACTGCTCTCCGTGTCTAGGATACACACACCTTGTCCATGGTTTAATCTGTAAATTCCATAGTGCAGTCATAAGAAAGTCTGCCCCACTCTGCAACTCCAGGTGGGTTTGAAACAGTGATGCAAGTCCTGTAAGCAAAACCTACTTGTTCAAAAAGCCTGGCAGGGAATTYCCCTGCCCCGGTAGCATCTGCTAATCTGACTTTACAAATCTGGTATTTGTGTGGTGGTATAATTTTAATACTAGTGTGTACTTAACCTTCTTATTTGTACTTATTTGTACTTCTGCATTCTTTTCTCCCACTGTCAATGTTTCTAGAGAGAGCATGGAATAAAAATTTCACTTAAAAATGTTACAGCCTAAASAGGAAAAACATGATGCTCTGTATGTTATCATTTTGGTGGCATGGATTTTCCTCTGTCCCCTTTCCTTCCAACTGCCTGGATAGTAATGCCAGCAGTAAATAAAATTAAACCGAAGGCAAAACCACTATGGAAAAATTTTACACTTTTTGGTTTTTTGGGGGGTGGGTAATTATTGTAAGTAAAGGAATGACAGAATAAGTGTGTGCAGAGACAGCTGTCATTTGCAGATGTTACATTAAACCCAAATTTCTTCTGTAATTCATTGCCACTTCTAATTAGAGGAATTCCCTAGATGCAGGGGATTTATATTATTCCCTTTGTCCATTTATTGAATGACTGTCACAGTCACCCACAAGCAGTTGGAGAAGAATAATAGAGGGTATTTATTTATGTGATAAGCCTCTGTACAGATGGAAAAAATCCATAGCTTAAATATTGATAATTGCTGCTGGCTTCTGTCTAGGGCTTTAGTTGGGGGTTGGGCTTTTTTCATTTTGAGTCTGTGAAAGGGAAATGAGTTTGAGTACTTGTAAGTACTAAAAGTTATGTATTTAAACTTAAAAATCTGCATTTGACAGGCTCAGGTCTGTTTTGTGTCTGCAATTCTGGACATGGCTTTACTTTTAGAAAGCCTCTCATGTACATAATGTGGCCTTTATCAGCAGAGCCTTAGGTCACCAGAGGACATCATASAGGGGTTTCCTCTGGAGGTGGCCCTGAAGGGGCAGTGTTTGGGCACCTTGACCTGCTGGGCTGAGCCCATTTGTGCCTGTCCTGACTCTGTGTTCTGCACCTCAGAAGGGCCCTGCTCTGCTGTCTCCTCTGCCTTCCACACCCCTCCTTATCTTTGGCCAGCTCAAGTCTTTTTTCTCTTCTATGATGTCCATGGAAGGAGTTTATAGAGGATTATTTGAAGTAAATACATCTTTGCAAAACCTCCTACCAATGTTGGATTCAGCCAGTGAATAAGGGTTTCCTGTTGGGATCCCAGATGGAAAACAGCTCTTCATATCTACTGCCAAKAGCATATTGATTGCAAATTCATAGATGGACTCAGTTCTTATGTGTACCAAGCTYGTGCTTACTTAGCAGAATGTTCTGAGACATGTGTGTCTGTGCAGTGTGCTGAGCGTAGTCATGGGGGATTTCAACACTCACCAGCTTGGGATGAATGTCACACTGCAAGTTTCAGTGTGGGAAACACTGTGGTCATGCTGTTTTATGGCAAAATGCTGTACCAGTGTCCTGTGGTGGTTCTGAAGCCTGTTTTTCTATTTTGGGATGCCCAGGTGCCATTTTTCGGTCCTCTCTTCGATGGCGCCATCGTGACTGCAAAGCTGCTGCCGAGCCTGATCTGTGCCACGTGCATCAATGCCAGCAGAGCCGTCAAGTCCCTCATCCCACTCTACCAGAGCTTGTATCCTTTCTCCATGGGGCAAGGTTCCCTTTGGTAGGGTTCTCACTTGGACTGTCCTCCTGCAGAGAGGTAGGCTGGGATGAAAATCCTTCCTGTTTGATTTTATTGGCAAAGGTCAGAGCTTTCTTCATGTCCAGCTCGATGTTTTCAGTGAGTCACACCCAGCTGCCATCTGGTGTTTTAAAAAYGAAATGGTAACATCACAGGAGTCTCTCACCAGTCTCTCACCAGTGGGCCTGGACTTASCACTGGTGCTTTGAACTGTGAGTAATGGTAATTCCCTGTTTTCTTTCACACTACGGAAGTTACRGACTGTAYGTCAGGCTGCTACCCAGAGCTCAGTCATGGTCTTATCCTGTTCAAAGTAATATTCTAATTAACTTGACTTGGACTCATTGCATTTATAAGAGAGATGGGGTTTGTCCTCAGATACAGGTGTTTCAGATCCCAAATACCAGTTTAATTCCAGCCACGCTTGTGTCTGGGCATTTTCAGAACCTGTTTTTSAGCAGTGGCTGGAAGATAACTGGAGGATGCGCTTGTCTGGGACATGAGTTGTGACATTTCTTGGGTGCTACACAGACCTGCAGTGTTTGCAGTGATTTGCACCCATTCTGCAATTTTTCTCATAATACCTTCATCCACTTTATTGCTTGTTTTGCTAATCACATCACTTTCCTCAGGACAAACACTCACTGCACTTTGCTTTCTCTGAGGAGCTTTTGATTTGAGTATTTTTCTAATCATATGGCTTTGAGAAAGAGTTTGTGAAATGTTTTGATCTTTGAAAGAATATTGATGAATTAATTTGAGAAGCACTTTTTTAAAACACAGAATACCCTTGAATTACTGGTTGGGGTTTTTTTAAAGGCTAAATTTTATCCAGTATACTTTGCAAGAGTGATCAGAAATTAAAAGCAGCATTGTGGTTAAATAGATTTGTATGCTATTATTGGAATTGCTCACTGTAAAGCAAAGGCAGTTGGTGGTGGTTGTGCAAACTGTGGCAATGCCTGACAGGTGAGTCAAGACTTGCTGTATTTTCTTCTGTTTCTTGAGAGAAATCTAACAAATTCCTAAAATTGTTCTGTGCAGAATTTAGCTTAATCTGTCTGCTTCTCAGCCGRTGTTTAATACTAAAATGACAGTGTAGTAAAATTGGCGTAAGTAGCAGCAGTTAGAAGAATGAAGCTATCCCAGCCCCTCACTCCCAGCTGGAGTCCTCCCATTCCTGACCCTCTCAGCTTTTGGCATTGAGCATTTTGTGAGTGAACAGCACTCACCAGCTGGCCATACTCGTGCCTTCCAAGGGGGTCTCTCTGAGGGTCCCAGCATGTCCCTGGGGTGGCAGAGCAGCACAGACATCACAACACAGGGCACTGCTCTGCACAGGTTTGAGGCAGCATCTGTCCCCACATTCTTTTCTGCCTTTTTTGCGTCTGCTTTTGCACCAGTGCAGTCTGTAGTGAATCAACTGCCACTTGTCTGTCTGATAAATGAAAGTGAATTCAGAAACTCCTGAAATGGGACAAAGGGGATGTGGTGGGCAGATCCCATAGGGATGATAACTGAAGCAGGAGAGAAAGCTATCCATAACTCATTCTGTAGGTAATGAAGACTCTGAAATACWTTAAAGCCAGCAACTGGAATGTGAGTGTGTAGATGTGTAAAGGTGATATTTGAACCTTCCCAATGCAGCTCCCAAAGGGTGAKTGACTCAGGTCCAGTGTTTGCTGTGCCAACTGCTGCGAGGAAGACRGGAGGGAAGCAGACCCAGCAATGCAAACAGTAAATGAAAGTGCCTTTATCAGACTGGAGATGGAAATAACTCAAAAAATGTCAGTGGGAGAGAGAAATAAAAAGCAATGATGCCAGCAAAGCAAGGGATGATATTTGGCACAAACTACACAGAACTGTAATTGGGATGGGGGCTGAAGGCTGGAGTGAGGCAGAGCTGAGAATGATTTGCAGCTTCTCTTTGGTACATGGGTCACGTTAAAAGGTGACATCCCTGCTAAGGGTCAGTAGCTAAAGGTATTTTGACTCCAGAGTGATTAGAAACAGATTGAATACTTCATCTGGTGTCAATAGTTCAGCAGTGATAAGGTGCTGTGTCCCAGGTGCTTGTGCTGGAGCAGTGGCAGGGTGTGAAGTACCTGCAGGATTCTGCTCCAGGTGGAGCAGAGCCCTCATCCTTGTTCCTGCCCTGCGWGGTGCAGAGGGCCAGGGTCGCGTGCTGGGGAGCCAGGGCAGCGTCTTGCCAGCAGTGACAGCTGAAGTCACTTGTTGGAAGTCTGTAAACTCCAGCTACAGCTGCACTTGTCAGGAGCTGTAAGGGAAGTGTAATCAGCCACAGAGATTAATTTGCATCTCAATTAGGAAAGAGTCAGGAGGAAGCTGTAGGGTCTGTTGCTGGAAGGTTGTGGAAGAAATCTCATCAGGCACAAAAGGCTCCCGACTTGGTGCTCCAGCGAGTGGAGGACAATATCCGAGTCTGGTTTCCATGGGGACTGGGACCGCAGAGCCGCGGGAGCATCTTGCTGCCCGCAGCCGCTTGGTCATGATGACACAAATTCCACTGTCGTGCCCAAATACAGTTTTCTGTTGGAAAGCTCTTTGAAAATGAAGAAGGTAACTATGGCAGACCACATCTGACTTCTTTTAATACCTTTTTTTATTTTTACGTTATGCTTTTGGTTTTAAGGAATTCATTAAGGCAAGAGATTCATTAAAAAACAATTAACTATATTTAAACTTCAGTTTAGAGTTGTTCTGGCTACAGGTTCTTTGTGTCCATCAAATGGCATGTGAGGGCATTGCGCAGGAGCCAGCCCCGGGTGGTGCATGCACAGCTCAGTTGTCTTTGGAACAGTGCTGGCTCTGTTGCTGTCGCAGTGCTTCCATGGGCGTGGATGATTGTACATCAGTTTATGTTCCAAATTCCCATTTTATTCCTTTTTGGTGCCACGGAGCACTGAGGCTGAGTGGCTGCAGCCCCTGCTAATTGGGACTCTTGCCATCCTTGAGTAACTGCTGAGCGTGAGGCAATGTGCTCCAGCAGCCTCTCCAGGCTGCTTTCTCAGGCAGTAACTGACTTTAAATGTGACTGGGGTTTACAGAAACTCTAAGTAATAAGGTGACTTAAATTTTATAAGAACATGAAATAACAATATTCAAGCTTACTACGATTGTTGTATTAAAAGGAAAATATATTTATGGAGGTTTTTGAGTGCATCCAAGCCTCCTTTTTATGTGCTGGGGAAAGGAAGGAACARCCCCTCTTACAAACCAATAATTATATGTCGTAACTAAGCAAGGGTCTATTCTGGTTGCAGCAATGCTGAATATTTAAAAAACTGGTAGGAGTGGGGCTGTAAAACTAYATCTTCTGAACTCTTCCAGCTTGTGCAAAACGAGCTGTGTGCTGGGAAGGATTTTTGAACGTTTGTATGATCTGGAGTGCCATGGCACTAGGCTGCAGCAGAGCTCCTCTCTCAAGACCTGGTTTTGTCTGTAAAGATAAATACTGGGGGCAACCAGGGTTTGGATTGAAATGTAACAGGACTGATTGGCAGCTGTCTAAGCTCACAGTTTCTAAACTCAGGTGCTAGTCAACCTTCAGASATGAAAATGTAACTAGTTTGGCAGGTGTCAGGTGCTCTGGTTGGCCCACAACTCAGTCCTGGTCCCCAAAAAGACTTTGGGATTTTGGGTATAGTGATGTCTGAACAAAAAAAACTCCTCTTAGAATGCCTGGGGAAATGCAATTCTCACTGCCCWGGTTATATTTCCAAATGGAGCCATTTCTTCTCTCCTTGATTTGAACTGGTTTAATTAAAAGGTTGTTTCAGTGTTATTTCTAGTATTTTACATCTATGGGTTTTTTCCCTCCACCATTGCAAATAACTCTCATACTCCCCCTCCTCCTTGGTCTTGCTAACTGAATTTAGAGAAAAGCAGGAAAAATCCCAACGTCTGAAATGTTACCTCAGCTTTGACTAGGTCTTTGTAAGCTGCTTTGGAGAGGGTGGAACATGTTCCTTGTGCCAGCACCAGCAGGCTTCTTCCCTGCGTTTTTCAGGGACTTCTGGTGGTCTTTAAATTATTTTTTTGTAGCAATTCAAGCTACATGTGTCTTCCTGTGAATGAATAAATAGGGATCTAGTTCTTGTTGGGCTTTATTAATACGTTGTTTATAAAATAATCTTTGTACACAATCTCACTTTTAGGATAAGTTAGTTTGTTCTTACGGATAGCGAAGGGGTTTGACCTCATTCTGCCTGTTGACTCYCACACTCCACTTTACTGTGACATGCAGTGCTGGAGGTGTCTGTGCATTGGAACAAGCACAGAGGAGCATGATGGAGATGAGGACTCTTTACATAATATCTGAGCACTGGATGTCACCATTTCCCTACTCACAATTTGCCCTCCTTTCTGTGGGCCAGAGGAAAACGCAGCCTTTCTGCTGAAGAAGTAATTTGATACACGAGTAACTCTTATGGATTTCTCCACTGTAATGACAGTGGTATGCTTGCTGAGCTGTGCCAGCCAACTGCTCGGTGGGGTACTGCCAAAACTCCATCTAAATACACAACACAAAAGGATACCCATAACTGTAATTCATTACATCTCATCCAGATACTGACATACTAATATATCCTAGATGTGTTAATATCTGGAACCAAGAAGATTAAGCAAAGAACATCAGCTTCAAATTCTGAATTAAATCCTTTTCTTGGCTTAAGCCAATTTCTGATTAACCTAATAGAGAATGCCTGATCTGCTTACCTGCTTTATCTGGGAAAGAAAGGTATTTGCTATGATGGACTTAATTGTGTGAATGGCTGTCAGATGTTCTGGAGGCTCATGTGGTGAGGACGCGTTGTGTGTCCCTTTCAGTATGTGTTTTGTGGCACTGGCCTTCGGAACTCTGCTGTGGGTACGAGGCAGTGTTTGATCGCACTGGGGAAATGAGATGGAAAGCCTGTTACTCCTTT